AGATAGGTTATCCAAGGCACTAGAACTCGGGAGAAATCCCTTAGTTCTTTTTTATTCGGCCATGGTAACAAGTAATCCAACACTCAAGCAAAGGCAAACGAGAAAAAGGCGAAAGAGAAAGAGAGGAGGAGATTGGGAAAGAGAGGGCGGATAAAACGACAAGGGTGAAGTGGGGGAGAGGAAAATGAGAGGCAAATAATGTAATGCGAGAGATAGGGATTGTGATGGGTACTTGGTATGGTTGACTTTTGCGCAAACTCCCCGGCAACGGCGCCAGAAATTCTTCTTGCTACCTCTTGAGCACTGCGTTGGATTTCCCCGAAGAGGAGAGGATGATGCAGTAAAGTAGTGTAAGTATTTCCCTCAGTTTTTGAGAACCAAGGTATCAATCCAGTAGGAGATCACGCACGAGTCCCTCATACCTACACAAAACGATAGCTACTCGCAACCAACGCGATTAGGGGTTGTCAATCCTTTCAAGGTTACTTACAAGGGTGAGATCTGATAGAGATGATAAGTAATATTTTTGGTATTTTTGATATAGAGATGCAAAGTAGAAAGTAAAAGGCAAAGTAAAAACAAAGCAAGTAAATGAATTAATGGAGATTGATATGATGAGAATAGACCCGGGGGTCATAGGTTTCACTAGTGGCTTCTCTCAAGAGCATAAGTATTCTACGGTGGGTGAACAAATTACCGTTGAGCAATTGATATAAAAGCAAATAATTATGAGATTATCTAGGTATGATCATGTATATAGGCATCACGTCAAGGACAAGTAGATCGAAACGATTCTGCATCTACTACTATTACTCCACTCATCGACCGCTATCCAGCATGCATCTAGAGTATTAAGTAAAATAGAGTAACGCCTTAAGCAAGATGACATGTTGTAGAGGGATAAATTCATGCAATATGATAAGAACCCCATCTTGTTATCCTCGATGGCAACAATACAATACGTGCCTTGCAACCCTTTCTGTCACTGGGTAAGGACACCGCAAGATTGAACCCAAAGCTAAACACTTCTCCCATTACAAGAACTACCAATCTAGTTGGCCAAACCAAACGGATAATTCGAAGAGACTTGCAAAGATAACTCAATCATACATAAAAGAATTCAGAGAAGAATCAAATATTGTTCATAGATAAGCTGGATCATAAACCCACAATTCATCGGTCTCAACAAACACACCGCAAAAAGAAGATTACATCGAATAGATCTCCACAAGAGAGGGGGAGAACATTGTATTGAGATCCAAAAAGAGAGAAGAAGCCATCTAGCTAATAACTATGGACCCGAAAGTCTGAAGTAAACTACTCACACTTCATCGGAGAGGCTATGGTGTTGATGTAGAAGCCCTCCGTGGTAGATGCCCTCTCCGGCGGAGCTCCGGAACAGGCCCCAAGATGGGATCTCGCGGATACAGAAGGTTGCGGCGGTGGAATTAGGTTTTTGGCTCCGTGTATGATCTGACGGGGGTACGTAGGTATATATAGGAGGAAGGAGTACGTCGGTGGAGCAACAGGGGGCCCACGAGGCAAGGGGCGCGCCTAGGGGGGGCGCCCTCCACCCTCGTGACTGCCTCTGGCACTTCTTGGACTAGGGTCCAAGTCTCCTGGATCACGTTCGGTGAGGAAATCACGTCCCCGAAGGTTTTATTCCGTTTGGACTCCGTTTGATATTCTGTTTCTTTGAAATACTAAAATAGGCAAAAAACAACAATTCTGGGCTGGGCCTCCGGTTAATAGGCTAGTCCCAATAATAATATAAAAGTGGAAAATAAAGCCCAATATAGTCCAAAACAGTAGACAAAGTAGCCTGGAGTAATAAAAAATTATAGATACGTTGGAGACGTATCAGGCACTATTCTTGGGGACTTCCTACTCCTCTATGGAGCATACGGTGTGGAAAACTTGGGCACCGTAGTAGGCCAAATTGTTTGCTTGGTTGGCCACCCAAGACAAGATTTGGGCTGCAGATATATCGTCTAAGCGTAGATGGCCAAATTGTGGTCTTTCCCTCTTGGAAAGTGTCGGGGTTAAATCCGGTAGATTCGGGTAGGGGTTCCCGAGCTAATGATCTTAGCTTGATTGTAATAGGATGAATAAGGGACACAAATATTAACCCAGGTTCGAGCCCTCTCGAAGAGGTAAAACCCACATCATGCTCTTATTATATTGATTGTGTTGGAACAAAGTACATGATGATCTAGCTCGAGATCATATGTGAATGAATCTATCCGTACAAGCTAAAACCCCTCTGCTCATATAGGGACCCGGGGTACCTATGGTTTAAATAAGGTCAGTTAAATTTAGGGATAAGCATGCCGAAGATTCAAAACAAGCCTTGGAGTAGGCGTCAAGTGTTCAGAGGATTCCATCTTGATCACGCTAGGGGGCATGGCAGTCTTTGCCCATTTATTGATGATCCAGGGTCCTCGACCCGGCCCACTCTAAAGGGGCTGTTGTGTTTAGCACCCCCTAGTCCAGGACACGATCAGCAAGCAAGAACAAGAATCCGGAGTATAACTTTTCTTCAAATGTCGGCTCATGCTTCGTCTATGGAACTTGGTAAATGATTGGCTCCACCTCAAGACCATTGACACGTTCACATGACGCTTGGAGAGTTCTGTCAAATATTGGTGGGGCAACCGGCCCGACCAATATACCCTCAATAAAAATGCAATGCCATCCCTTACAATGCTCAATTGTTGGACCGTTTGGACTGAGAGAAATGCCCTGCGTTTTTCGGCACAAGAGCACTCAACCGCCGATACTTATATGTAACATCAAGTGTGATGTGAGACCTTGGATCTCGACGGGCGCAAATAAACTAGGAAATGTTGTACTAGGAGGGTGATACTCATACTACCTAGGGTCTTGTAACACAAACTCTATTCCCTTTTTAACTAATATACGAGGCAAATCTTTTGCCTCCTTTTCAAAAACAAAACAGATGTATAATCAACAACATTCATCTCGTGAATGAGAATAATAGAAGTTTCCTAATTAAACAAATAAGTTTATGAACTTTGTTGTCCAGCATGAATGTTTTGAGGACATGTGTTGTTGTGTTATCATGGATACTGCTATTGGAACATGGAATCAGAGTAGGAACTCGCAAGGGGGCGCGCGCTGAAGAACATGTGCCTTCAAGAGAGACAGAGAAGAATCAAGATGGATGTGAGAATGGTAGAACCAATCGAAGCAAAGTTGAGTTGCCAGAGGAGCAGATGGCGTGCATGGAGACTAACTGGCACAAGGCATTGGAGACATGAAAACTGATTCTCCCAAAGTTCATGTTTACATGCATCAGCCATATGCATGATGCACTCTCAGACAACCTCTGGTTCTAAGGAATGAAAGCATCTATGTTTGCAGTGCTTAAGAAACTAAACCATAGTAGCTCATCCACAATTAGGCATGCATTTAGGTGAACTCATTAGAAGCATCTTAATTTGAAGAAATTAACCAACTCATCCACTCATCCAGAAGAAAGATAGAACTCTTAGCTACCGATAAACTGTCTGGACTAACATAACCTCGCCGTCAAGCTGCCAACCCAAACACCAATGGGAGACTTGCTGCCAGAATATGCTTCTTACATACATACGACACTCAATACAGATATATCAAACTACATCAGCACCATCTTGAACATTCGCCATCCAACTCCAGTTGTATGACCCAAGCAAGACCAGAGCAACTACATACCAAGCTCAGATCTGCAAACATGTATTTAGTTAGAAATTAGAAGCTACCACAGTTGATGCAATTGGAATCTTTCATATCCCAATTTCTTAGTAAGGAGGCATGCGCTAAATTTTGGAGTACGATATTTCTTAAGAATAACGGAACAAAAGCTTCTTATTTGTGCCCCACAAGAATCCGTAGCCATCTTATTGTAGGTTGGAAGAAATATACATAAACATTAGCAGACCATAATAGGTGACCCTATCTATTTATGGAAACATGACATGGTAAATAAGGAATGATCATAAATAGATGCCTAAGGCCTTCAAACATCAACTTGCACGTTATGCGACATTCTTGGTTTGAACAATCTTGTGTAAGTGCAAAGAATAAGTAAAGATGTATCACATAACGATGCAAGCACGAAAGCCATTTTCTCTCCTACGATATGGAGCAACAAATATTGGATTTTCAAACTAGTATGCATTATTTTCTTTTAACTAAGGCAGGCCCTCCTAAGATAAACTTGTTGAACATACGTGCAAAACAAACCATGAATTGGTTGCCTCACCTACCTAATTTAACAAGAAAACCATG